GCTATCTATCCTTGGTGGTGTATGCACCAGAGAGGCAGCACATGCAAAAGACAGTAAGCAATTGATGAAGTCTGATTTACAGGCTACGTAGAAGGAAAAGAGAGAGCATCAAGGGGAGCAACTTCTGAGGACTGGTCAGTAGGAAGCCCTTCAAGAAGCAGAAGGAGTAATATATGAACCAGGAGTCATTCAAATTACTCTTAGACACTCCTGCAGGCAAAATGTGGACACCTGGGCCACTAGAATGATTGCATAATTTAAAAAACTAAGTGTGATTCCTATTTGTAAGTTTAAAGGCTATTTTCTCCTTAGGCAATAATCTTGTCCTCAAGAAAAGATATCTTGAGAACAATTTATCCAAATGATCTGAAATTTTCAGCAATTGTTCCTCTTGATAAGTTTTGTGTTATGAGCAGAGCAATTTTCCACGTGATTTATGCACTCAAAGTTATGAAGTGAAACACTACTTCGATTTCCTATGTCAAATTTAATGAATCATCATTTGAAATGTTTTCAACATATCAAAAATCCATCCACTTATAACAATAAGCAATATGTATTCTTTGAATTGACACTAAAAACATTTTTTTTCAGTAATTCCAGAAGGAGTTATCTTTTCTTAAGTAACCCTTGGTAGAACCCAGCAGGTGGCACAATAAAACGAGTGGTATCCTTTTACAATTGACATGTGGAGTGTAAAATATTTATTTCATGATCTTCAAGTCATAAGCTCTCGAGGGATATATAGTTTGTCTAAGTTTTCAATTAAATCCTAGCCTTGAAAAATGGGCATTTTTTCAGGTTTACCCCCGCCTTAGCTTGGCCTTGATTCTCGTCTTAGTGTTTTTCGTTAAAGAGAAGAACACTAGAGTCGAGATCGGGAAGGTGGTAAATCACTCTCACTTTGAAGCTTTGAAAGTAACCATAACAACATTCGTTTTGGCCACTTGGGTTCATCGGTCATTTCGAGGTACATTCCTAAGATTCCTCGCAACTGGAATGTAAGTAACCATTTCAGCCGACTTATCTCAGCTACAACAAAAAAGGTCTTGACAGAAATCACAGATCGAAAAGTCTGTGAATTGATTGGAAATTTTATGATCGAACGTGATCGGTCGCCAAAAATTACAATAATCTCTAGAGGTACAGTCTCCATGCCTTAAATAATCTAAACCAGTCGAACAAAACTGAAAACTGTTTTAAAAAGAAAAATCGAGTGAACTAAACACAGCTAATTAACAAATGGTAAACACCACAGTATACACTATTGAGTTATGGATGCACGCGGGAGGTTGCTAAGCACGAAAGAAGCGTAAGAGTCGCTCGAGGCGATAGCCGAGAGCGACTCTAGCTTCTTGAGTGCTTAGCAAACCTCCCAAGTGCATCCATAACTCAATAGTGTACGCTGTGGTGTTTACCATTTGTTTTATAACATAACATTGATACATTGTAGCTAAAGAGTTCCCTTTTATTTAACAAATCTTACGCGACCAGAAAAAACTACCAATTGAGCTAACAAGCCAACTGAGAGCAGGCCGTTAAGTTGATTCGTAATGAACCCGTGAAAGTGATAAATGAGATAGAATAAATATATGAAAATCATATATTTTGAACTGCGGTATTTGATACGTATGATGCACGATCCTCGCAGTAGATAGCGCTATTTAAGCAATAGCGAAAATCAGACCTGAAAAAAATCAGGCCTGTACGGGACTCGAACCACTGACCTCTGCGATACTAGTGCAGCGCTCTACCAATTGAGCTAACAAGCCAACTGAGAGCAGGCCGTTAAGTTGATTCGTAATGAACCCGTGAAAGTGATAAATGAGATAGAATAAATATATGAAAATCATATATTTTGAACTGCGGTATTTGATACGTATGATGCACGATCCTCGCAGTAGATAGCGCTATTTAAGCAATAGCGAAAATCAGACCTGAAAAAAATCAGGCCTATACGGGACTCGAACCACTGACCTCTGCGATACTAGTGCAGCGCTCTACCAATTGAGCTAACAAGCCAACTGAGAGCAGGCCGTTAAGTTGATTCGTAATGAACCCGTGAAAGTGATAAATGAGATAGAATAAATATATGAAAATCATATATTTTGAACTGCGGTATTTGATACGTATGATGCACGATCCTCGCAGTAGATAGCGCTATTTAAGCAATAGCGAAAATCAGACCTGAAAAAAATCAGGCCTATACGGGACTCGAACCACTGACCTCTGCGATACTAGTGCAGCGCTCTACCAATTGAGCTAACAAGCCAACTGAGAGCAGGCCGTTAAGTTGATAGTGCATCATACGTATGTGTTATTACTGTCGTAGTTTTTCCGTGATCTTATCACAAGCAGGGTTACACTCTTTAATTAAGTTGTAACATCAACCATGAAATCTCCATTTCTTGTGATGAAATTAATTTTTTTTATTTGTTTCTGAAAACGTGCCTTTACTTTCTTTAGAGAAAAATTAAATCGTCTTTTTTAACATCATTAAAACTACTTGAGAAACGATTAAAAGGAAATCTGCAGCAGGCTTTTGAAACTTACCGTGCAAAAAAGTGTCGCCATATACCTCAAAGAAAATGGTAACTCATCCAGCCAAGAAAACTCTATTAGTGCATTTAGAGCAGTTACGAAAAACTTGACAGTGGCGGTATGGAATAATCTATTCGTTTATCCAACCAGCCCCTCTAGGTTGCTGTTGTTCAATTGTTCATATATCTATTGCCCACAGCCCTTTGGCTATCTCCATATATTCTCAAGCAGGAATACTTTTCACTAACTTCCCAGCTAATAAAAATTCGATGTAATTCCCAATGAAACACGAGTCTTGATTAGTGCACTCTTTTAAGCGGTTAGGACGCAAGAGGTATGGACTGGAAAACATTGAGTTTTCTAACAGGCCGCTACGCCGCTTCTCACTTTACTAATCGCACATTAAACCACCAGTCATGCAAGATTAAAAAAAAATCTATCCCCTCACAACGTCTTCTAAAATTTACAGGCCACATGAAGACATCCAAAGATCTTTTTTACTGAAGTCAAAAAAAGTTTATAAAGGCAAAGCTTACTATGCTCGGTTTGCTAAAATAACCCTAAACTCCATCAACAATCCTCAAAGGCCTCACCTATTGTGAAAATGGGGATAAATGAGGCAGGGGGAGCGATTACGTCTCTTTGGATATCACATTCTGAATTCATTTAATCCTCCTTCTCGTGGGCGCTCTTCTTCAGTTCAATTTTTTTTCTCTTATGGACTGGCTACTAATCCTTACCTGTGGGGAGGAAGTGGAATCGGTGAAAGCGGTGGATCTTGTTCGAGTCAAAATTTAAAAAATTTTCCTGATTCCTCTCCCTCCCTTAGGCTCTGTTTTATTCTAATGACCTCACTTATGAGGAGTCCCCCCTCTCGGCCTTAATTCAAGTCTTATAGCAATGACGGATTCAATCTCCCCTCCCCTTGAAAGCCGTGTGGATCCCCCGTCAAGCGATCAATAACAATATTTTATCAAACGGGAAAATGCTTTCACTTCCTTTCCAGACAATAGAAACATTAAAGTCGTTCCCATTGAAAAACAGGACTTTCATGCTGTAATATAAACTTATTGATAACCTAATGCTGAAACCTTACTTACAAAGGCTTCCCAAAAATTCCTTATAAATTGACTCACTCAGTGATATAATCATTTCTTTATTTGTAGAGGTAATCTCACGATTCAGAGTGAAATTTGATATAAACAAGTAGTATTCGGCGCCTGTATGGCGCCGTATACTACTTCAACAATCTCGTTTATTTTTCTTATAACTAACATAATTGCGTGAGCCTATAGGAAGAATGCAACTTTGAGGTCTTTGGAGGAAAATTGAAGTGCCTACTTATTCCAAATTGCACGAGAAAAATCAAGTTATTTTTACTTCCTTTAAACCTGATCAAACCTTTTATACTTGGCAGCTTTTCATAGTAATGTAGAAGTAAAGATGGGTGACTCATGTGAAAATAAATTCATTCAGACCAAAACATCATCACGCCGGTTTGGTGAAAACAACGTGTTTAATCGCAGGGAAAATTTTTCTGCATTCCTTTTTTTTCTTTTTATAAGTTCTCAACAAATTTTTACTGCTTTTTCACTGAGTTAATTATTTTCTGCCCTGCATTGGTGTTTCCTGAAAACTGTATTTCAACCAATTAGAAGGCAGAAATTTCTTCACGTATTCTGTGAACAGGTGTCCTAGACAGCTTTTATTTACTTGTATGTAGTCGAAAGTAAAAAAAAATGTTATATATTAAAAAATAACTCATTTACTTATGAAATGTGTACAAAACCATGTCAACTTTAAGAAGTCTAAATGCAAAAAGTTAAATCGCTGGCAACGTCACAGACATACACTTCTGGCTGTTATCAGTGTGGGTCAATTTTTAACAATCTCCAACCGCCTGACAACTTCTCCTCCATCATACAAGCCATATCAGGACATCGGTTATTGACAACACCTCAGAAACTAAGGCCTTAAAAAAACAAAAACTAATGAGTAGTTTAGCCAAACAAATATCTATCTCGAAGCCAATTGAAAAATAATTTTGCTCAACAAAGAGGTTGAAGATCTTAGTAAAAGTCGTCTGCGTGCCACAGGCAGCCCTATACTACTACCCACCATACAACTCATTCGGGTCAGCTTTAAAGTTGACGGGGCGATCAAACCAGTGATTTACACTTTGACATTAAAGAATTAAGCTAACATGAAATAAGCTGTAGAACTTATCTCACCAACCTGACTTAATCATTGCAACTTGCTGACTCACTGCTACCTACGTGACTCAGCAGGATGTCAAGAACATCTGAGTCACGTGATGAGGCATGGTATAAAGAATCCCGGCCGTAATTATCCTTAGTTAAGGGCTTAGCCCCCCTCTCAAGGAGATACTTTACACCTTGCAGCTTGCCATGATACACAGCAATGATTAGAGAAGTAGAACCGTGGGCGTTTTTTGACTCAATGTCCGGAAGGTGAGTAAGGATAAGATCAATGACATTAGTGTCTCCACCCCGTGTGGCAGACTGTAACATATTCCATCTATCGTTATCAACACAGGTTATATTTGCCCCCTTCTCAAGAAAGCATCTCACTGCGTGCATGTAATTTGCCATTCAAAGACGCCACTATTAGTGGCGTGTAACCCTTGACTCTTTTGGACACAATGTCCGACACGTGAATAAGGATAAGATCAATGACGTCAGTGTCTCCACCCTGTGCAGAAAAATGTATCATATTCCATCTTCTGTTATCAACACAGGTTAAATTTGCCCCCTTCACAAGAAACCATTTCACTGCGGGTAATTTGCCGTTGAAAGCCGCCACCATTAGTGGAGTGTAACCCTCGGCTGTTTTGGACTCAATGTTCGGCAAGTGAGTAAGGATAAGACCAATGACGTCAGTGTCTCCACCCTGTGCGGCAGAATGTAACATATTCCATCTATCGTTATGAACACAGGTTACATTTTCCCCCTTCTCAAGAAACCATTTGACTGCGTATAATTTGGCGGTGAAAGCCGCCACCACTAGTGGCGTGAAACCCTTGGCTGTTTTGGACTCAATGTTCGGCAAGTGAGTAAGGATAAGATCAATGATGTCAGTGTCTCCACCCCGTGCGGCAATATGTAACATACTCCATCTTCTGTTATTAACACAGGTTACATATGCCCCCTTCTCAAGAAACCATTTCACTGCGTGTAATTTGCCATTCAAAGCCGCGACCATTAGTGGCGTGTAAGCCTCGGCTGTTTTGGACTCAAAGCTCGGCAACTGAGTAAGGATAAGATCACTGAAGGATAAGATCAAAAAAAGAACACCGGTAGGTCTACACAGTTTTAGTAGGATCATGCCACTTTGTAAGAGTACGCGTTCTATGAAAGGAAGCAAGCTGGCTTCAGTTATTTTTTTTAGATTATCACTGCTAATTTTGAAACAAAAATTAACTCGGTGTTTTTTGCAATTTTACTCTCCTAAGCCCGTCTGAATAACTTTTGAGTAGCCTAGTTAACCCTTTAACTGCCAAGATCTGGGCCCGCCTGTTCAAAGGGTGGATAACACTATCCCACGGAAAAATCACTATCCCACGGATAAATCGCTATCCCACGGATAAATCACTATTCCACGGATAAATTGCTATCCCACGGATAGATTGCTCTACCACGGATAAATGACTATCCCACGGATAAATCGCTATCCCACGGATAGGTGACAGAAAAACGTATCGCGTTATCCACCGGATAAAGTTTTATCTAGTGGATAGCGCTATCCAACCTTCAAACAACCGGGGCCTGATAGTTAACTCTTCCCTCTAGCTGCTACACATTTACTTGCAAATAAGTTCCGAGAATTTGGAGCCAGATTAAGTTAATAATTTCTATCTGATAAGCTTGAGTACTCTCATCACCTGTTTGCTGGATAATAGAAGGATATTACAGGGAGAAGTCACATGTTAATCACTTCTGAGAGTTAAAGGGTTCAATATGAAAAGTCAATCCACACATCCACAGAAACCACTTTAACTTTGACCTTCTTTCCGGGAATGAATGATAATTCGAAGAATCATCCTTTCAGATTTATCCTGCAAAACAGGAGTCAACCTATCGCGTTTTCATTTGAAGTCAGCGAAGTCATGTAGCGAGCGAAAGAGGCGACACGACAAGACACGGCCTAAGAAACGCAAACAAAACATACCTCACAACTACGGGCTTTTCTACGTTTAAAGCTGTTATCTGAATTCTTGGCTGCATAACAGATTTATACCACTTCCATTTGGGTGGGTGTACTTTTAGGATACGAATGTGAGGCTAGGCGTTATAGTGGAGCTCACTGCGCGCACGAAGGGCAAGCAGCCTAGCCATATCCCTAGAGAAATTGATAAACCATCCAGCCAAGAAAACTCTATTGGTGCATTGGCTATCTCCACATTTTCTGCGAACAGAAATATTTTTTTCTAATTTCCCAGACGATAAAATTTCGATGTAAATCCCAACCAAACACGAGTCTTGATTAGTGCACTCTTTGAAGCGGCTACGACGCAAGAGGTTTGGACTGGAGAACATTGATTTATCTAACACCCCGCTGCGCCGCTCATCACTTTTTTAAACGCACATTAAATCTCCAGCCACGCAATATTGAAAAAATCTATCACCTGACAGCGTCTTCTAAAGTTTACAGGCCACTTGAAGACATCGAAAGATCTTTTTAACTTAAGGTAAAAAAAAAGTCTATAAAGGCAAAGCTTACTATGCTCGGTTTGCTAAAATAGCCTAAACGTTATCGACAATCGTCAAAGGCCTCACTTATCCCTTATTGTGAAAATGGGGATAAATGGGGGGGGAGGGGTGAAGCGATTACGTTTTTACAGCAATCTCTTTGGAAATAACCTTCTGAATTCATTTAATCCTCCTTTTCGTGGGCGCTGTTCCTCAGTTCAATTTCTTTTTCTCTTATGGACTGGCTACTAATCATCGCCTGCAGGGAGGGGGTGGAATCGGGGGTTGTTGTATGATTCAAAATTTAAAAAAATTCTCTTGATTTCTCCCCTACCCCCCTTATCCTTATGCTCCGTTTATTCTAATGACCAAGTATTGGGAGTCCCCCCCTTAATTAAAGTCTGATAACAATGACGGATTCAACCTCCCTTCCCCCTGAAGCCGTGTGTATACCCCGTCGGGCGATCAATAACAATAATTATCGAACGGGGAAATGTTGTCACTCCCTTGCCAGACGATAGTAACATTAAAGTCGTTCCCATTGAAAAACAAGACTTTCATGCTGAAGTATAAGATTTTATTAATTAACTAATGCTGAAACCTTACTTACAAAGGCCTCCTAAAAATTCCTTACAAATTGACTCACTCAGTGATATAATCATTTTCTTATTTGTGGAGGTTATCTCACGATTCAGAGTGAAATTTGGTATAAACTACCTCGTTTATTTTCTTACAACCAACATAATTGCGTGAGCCTATAGGAAGAATGCAGTTTTGAGGTCTTTGAAGAAAAATTAAAAGTGCCTACTTATTCCAAATTGCACGAGAAAAATCAATTCACTTTTACTTCCTTTAAACCTGATCAAACCTTTTATACTTGGCAGCTTTTCATAGTAATGTAGAAGTAAAGAGGGGTGACCCACGTGAAAATAAATTCATTCACAACAAAACATCATCACGCCGTTTTGGTCAAAACAACGTGTTTAATCAAAGTATAAATTTTTCAGCATTCCTTTTTTTTTTGTTTTTTAAGTTATCAACAAATTTTTACTGCTTTTTCACTGAGTTAATTAATTCCTGCCCTGCATTGGTGTTTCCTGAAAACTGTATTTCAACCAATTAGAATGGAGAAATTTCTTCACGTATTCTATTAACAGGTGTCGTATACAGCTTTTATTTACATGAATGTAGTCGAAAGTAAAAAAAAATGTTATATATTAAAAAATAACTCATTTACTTATGAAATGTGTACAAAACCATGTTAACTTTAAGAAGTCTAAATACAAAAAATTAAATCGTTGGCCACGTTACACAGACATACTCTTCTGGCTGTTGTCAATATAGGTTCATTTTTAACAATCTCCAACCAGCTGACAGCTTCTCCTCCATCGTACAAGCCATATTAGGACATCGGTTATTGACAACACCTCAGAAACTAAGGCCTTAAAAAAACAAAAACAAATAAGTAGTTTAGCCAAACAAATCTCTATCTCGAAGCCAATTGAAAAATAATTTTGCTCAACAAAGAGATTGAAGATCTTAGTAAAAGTCGTCTGCGTGCCACAGGCAGCCCTATACTACTACCCACCATACAACTCATTCGGGTCAGCTTCAAAGTTGACGGGGCGATCAAACCAGTGATTTACACTTTGACATTGAAGAATTAAGCGAACATGAAATAAGCTGTAGAACTTATCTCACCAACCTGAGTTAATCATTGCCGCTTGCTGACTCACTGCTAGCTACGTAACTCAGCAGGAACTCAAGAACATCTGGGTCACGTGATGAGGCATAATATAAAGAATCCCGGCCGTCATTATCCTTAGTGAAAGGATTAGCTCCCCTCTCAAGGAGATACTTTACATCTTGCCGCTTGCCAAAACAAACAGCAATAATTAGAGGAGTAGAACCGTGGGCGGTTTTTGACTCAATGTCCGGCAAGTGAGTAAGGATAAGATCAATGACGTCAGTGTCTCCACCCCGTGCGGCAAAATGTAACATATTCCATCTATTGTTATCAACACAGGTTACAATTGCCCCCTTTTCAAGAAACCATTTCACCGCGTGTAATTTGCCTTGCAAAGCCGCCACCATTAGTGGCGTGAAACCCTCGGCTGTTTTTGACTCAATGTCCGGCAAATGAGTAAGGATAAGATCAATGACATCAGTGTCTCCACCATGTGCGGCAGAATGTAACATATTCCACCTACTGTTATCAACACAGGTTACATTTGCCCCCTTCCCAAGAAACCATTTCACTGCGTGTAATTTGCCATTCGCAGCCGCCACCATTAGTGGCGTGTGACCCTCGGCTGTTTTTGACTCAATGTCCGGCAAGTGAGTAAGGATAAGATCAATGACATCAGTGTCTCCACCCTGTGCGGCACAATGTAACGCATTCAATCTATTGTTATCAACACAGGTTACATTTGCCCCCTTCTCAAGAAACCATTTCACTGCGTCTAATTTGCCATGGAAAGCCGCCACCATTAGTGGCGTGTAACCCTGGGCTGTTTTTGACTCAAGGTCCGGCAAGTTAGTAAGGATAAGATCAATGACATTAGTGTCTCCACTCTGTGCGGCAGAATGTAACATATTCCACCTCGTTTTATCAACACAGGTTACATTTGCCCCCTTCTCAAGAAACCATTTCACTGCGTGTAATTTGCCATTCGCAGCCGCCACCATTAGTGGCGTGTGACCCTCGGCTGTTTTTGACTCAATGTCCGGCAAGTGAGTAAGGATAAGATCAATGACATCAGTGTCTCCACCCTGTGCGGCACAATGTAACGCATTCAATCTATTGTTATCAACACAGGTTACATTTGCCCCCTTCTCAAGAAACCATTTCACTGCGTCTAATTTGCCATGGAAAGCCGCCACCATTAGTGGCGTGTAACCCTGGGCTGTTTTTGACTCAAGGTCCGGCAAGTTAGTAAGGATAAGATCAATGACATTAGTGTCTCCACTCTGTGCGGCAGAATGTAACATATTCCACCTCGTTTTATCAACACAGGTTACATTTGCCCCCTTCTCAAGAAACCATTTCACTGCGTGTAATTTGCCATTCGCAGCCGCCACCATTAGTGGCGTGTAACCCNTAAGTTCATTCACCTGCTCCAGACTCTCCAAACTCACTTACTAAGAACTGGATGGCAGACAATGAAGATAATTTATTTACCACTTTTCATTACCAAGTTTGCAAACAGTAAGACAACCTTTTTTTCTGACTAATCCATCTCTTGCCATTTTTAGCTCTCAAAAGTTAGCAAGGTTTATATCATATAATATCTTTCAGTTAAGATTCCCCTTCTTAATAGCGATCACCTTCCAGTGTGATGGTTGTAGGGGTATTGAATAGGCCATTTTTGACATATGAAAATTCAAACTTGGCTTCGAGGCTTGGGGGAAAACACAAGAAATCACATCAAGGTTGAGGGATGAATATTTTTTTTGTTTTGTTTTATTCTCCCTTAGCCTTTGAACCATGTTTGAATTTGAATATATCAAAAATGGCCTAGTAACAAAGTACTAAATTATAGTCACTAAGTGTCCTAGTAGTGAAGCAGTCAACAGTGCTGGCACCCACATGTTAATTAGGTTGAAAAAGAAAAATACTTCACCTGTTTGTGTCAAAACTGCCCGATTGTCCCTCTTCATGTCTTCTCTCTTTTCTACATTGTGTGGAGTTGTATCTGGACCTGTTATTTGTTGCATGACCTTGTATTAAGTTATGCAATAAAGTTTATCAAAGAGAAAAAACACTTTTCTCCTAAAGAGAATTTCCACTTTTTCAAAATGCTTTTCTCGTGAAGAAACTGTCCTCGTTTTCAAAATTTCCTTCAGCACCATGTCAAAAATAGCTTTCAGCTGACTGCCTCATGTGCCACTTTTTTTTTCATTTTTATATTGTATATTGGTGTCATCTATGATTTATTATTAAACAGGTCCATAGCAACATGGATTCTATTTATTAAACAAACATCTTAATATAATTACAGGCATCTCATTGTGTGTACAGTAAAGGACTGGTCATGAATAAATGGGGGAGAATATAGGAGGGGTGGGTATATAGCCATTTTTATGTGTGTAAAATGGGTCGGCCAGAAAAACCTATGCATTGCAGTCGGGGTGGGTCAACATGTAAAACATGTTTTAATCTGAGCATACAAGAAGTGTAGTATTGACAGTAAAATTCAATTCTTTAAATGTTTATCTATCCACTTATCCTCTTTTTGAAGACCAAGGTGCTGATTCAGTGAATTAACTCTTTAAAATCTTATTTTCAGGTACAGCTTACTTACTACTTAACAAGCAATGTTAATTTCATTCACCTGTTCCAGACTCTCTTTCTTTGTTCCTTTCTATTTGTTCACCTTGAAGACAGCTTGCCTCTATAGGAAATGGAAAGAAAAATTATGTGCTTTTATCAGTAAAAAGTCATAACTTAATAACTATAAATATAATAGTAGTCATTATTATAGTAACATGCAGTAATGTAATGTTTACTTTATGTTTTATCTTCCTCCCCCTTTTTTTAACATACCAATTCACAATACAAAGCCAACGATGCTTTGACCCCCCCTCCAATTCTACTGAGTTTGCTAATTGTTGCCAAGGGCATCAATAACAATTAATCTCTGAAGAATTACCTCTGTTCCATTTTAAAATGTCACGGAGAGTCAAATTTTAAGCGAATACAAATGTTTCTTTTGGAGTTGTCAGTCTGCTTGTTTTTTTCTGTAATGGTATGTGTAAATTGGTTTTTCTTCCACCTAAAAACTGAAGTCGATCAGACTCTTTCCAGCTAAACAAAAAATAATTTAATGCGACTTATATTCATGGAATTCCTTTGGCTAGTGTTGTGAAATTTACGGTAGTAATGTCTAAATTCAAGGGACATTGCAAAGAATAGGCGAAAATGTATTTATAGAAGAACTCAAAACTTCGCTCAACGTTTCACAAACGAAGAATTCAGATATTAGCGATTGAGAGTCATATTGATTAACGTAATTGTTAACTGCAACTACCTCTCGTTTTAACTCTCTGAGTGACTTTTTGGGAAGGGGAAGGATTATTGAATTACAAATTGTTTCTAGGCCACGTTTCAATCTTTTTAAAAACAAATTTAGTACAACACAATTTATTTCGAAATTAATTTTTGCGGAAAAACCAAAGTGATTTGAGCCGGTAAGAGAGAAAAAAGAATCACTATTATTTATCACCAAAAGTTCATGACCGAAGTCTTCGCTCAAATATTCTGTCCAGCCGGCAAAATGAGACATAGTGAAAAATTGCAACGAAGCTTGAGATGTTCTGCAAAGTAACTCAAGTGAAATGGATATTGCCCGCTGTGAGCAGGCCGGATGGGGAGAATACCGCCCACTCTCGGAACCAATCACATTGCACGATTTGTGGAATACCGCCTGCTCACGAAGTGAGAAAAAAATAAATAATATTATTATATGGCTGTGTCTCACAAGGACTGGGAACTACCCAATTCACGAATTTGATTTGCTAAAAAAAAGTATTGAAAGCGGTCTAGATTTTTTCATGTAGACCGGCATCTAGACCGGTCAAGGAAAAAGGTACAAAGAAGATAAAAAATTGGCATATAAGACACAGCCATATAATAAACATCTTATTAACTGAGCTTGGTCAGTCTGTATGGGAGAATCTTGACCTCGTTCGCTAGTACAGACCTCACTGCGTTCGGTCTGTGCTGGCGAACTTGGTCAAGATTCTCCCATACAGACCTCCCGCTCGGTTAATAAGAACTAAATAATAATAATATACCGTTTATTTGCCACATAGCAGAATTAACCAAATTAAAGAGCTAAATATACAATCAATAATTAATGAAAACTACAATTACTATAAGAATAATAAAAATATCTTAACTAACTTTTCATATGTTTGTATATTCACTATTGAAAGAGATAAAGGAACCTGAATGCTGGTTCAGGCAACGACTTCTATCAGCGTAAACAATACTTCTGTTGTTGTTGCCGGATGGAAGGTTGTAACTATGACCACTCGTTGTTGTTCTCGGTATAAGAAAGTTAACGGGGTGGGTTTTTAGAGGTTATTGTGAAGGCAGTAAAAGCAAATGCTAGGAAATAGAATTCCTACACAGAACAAGAATGGAGTATCAGCAAAGGGAAGCTATTCCTCATCCGTGGACCCAGACAAAAACTTTAATAGTCTCTCCTCTATAGATGAGGGAAATCGACATCCGTCGAAGCTACCGCACACAAAACAGATACACTTTCAAGGAAAACAGCTGTTAACCTTGGCCTGCGGGGGGCCCAAAACAAAGAAAATAAATTACATTTAAACTTCACACTTCACGAAAAACGCGGGAAAAGACACGAAAACAAGAGTAATTCAAAGTGGAATATAGGTAACAGGTCCCAGTCCCTCCCCTTCAGTCATTTCCTGTTCGGATCAAATTTTGTTCCCCCTGTTCTTTCATCCACTTTCCTACCCTCCCCCCCCACCCCTTAAAATTTCCCCATTCCAAAATTGGTTAAATTAGATATTAAACTACTGAAGGGCACATGGTATACCTTCTACAGCTGCACATGATGCTATGCAAACGTCTCTCTCATTCCTCTCTGTTGGTTGTGTTTTGTTTGAATTGTCTGGGACTGTATTGGAATTGGAAGAACAAGAAAAACACAGTGAGGATCATAATGTTAAAGATGTTACATTTCTACTGCTGATCGCAACAATCGCCATGTTCCAAGATTTACTGTTCACTGAGTCATCTTGTGAACAGAAATGTATTCCAAATCTACTCTCAAATTAGAATAACAGTTAACAAATGCCGGGATTAATATACATTAACACAACAAAACGTTTAATAAAGGATTATTTCAGTGCTGGCGAATTTCGCGGATATTTATTTACATTGAGTGCGTGACAGAAGTATACTCGTTTCAATGTCGTCTAACTGCTTTTTTTCGTCCAATTTATCTGATAAACTTGGATCAATATTCGCCAGCCAGTGCAACTCTTTAAATTTAAATTGCCCGCCATTTTTTTATAACTTAAATCCAATTAGTCGCTTGCACGATGCGAGAAAACCTGTCTAACCGCTTCTCTGGAGTGCAAATACCACGAGATATTTATACTCGTTCAGGGCATTATTTGTAGCACAGTTGGATAACAATAACCTTTTTCACTCTCACATCAGTATGCACATTCTCCATGATGTTATCTTTACATTTCCTAAGGTGCTGCCAAGGAGATCGTTTGATCACATCCTTTATCAACAGGGTTTTGGATAGAGCTCTAAAAATTGCAAATCGAAAGAACCTCTCGGTCTGAACATATCCGGTTTTCCCATGGACACGCTCTTAAGAAAGGCAATACAATCCAAGAAGGATGTAAAGGGAAAGTTGCAACGGAATCAGTAACTCGTGGTTAAGAGGAAAATCAGGAAATGCGAAAGTTATTAATAGTTATGATAACCATAATAAAATCAATTCAAAATGTTTATACAGCAAAACCTCTTTAGTTATTAAACTGAAATCGAAGTGCGCCTTATTGGAACAATGAGTTTCTTTCTCGTTTGAGTTGCATAATTGAGAAATTGAGATTAGTTTGTTCTCATGTTAGCGAGCTTTCACTAACACTGACTGAATTTGTTGTTCTGTCGTTTAAGTGCGTTGGAATCTTGGTCGATTTTAAGTTGTTTTGGTTGTGTTAACTTTTTTTTGGAAAAGACGTTTTTCTAAACAGCTCGGACACTTTTGCAGATTTTTAATTTTTTTTTTCCCNTGCCTACGTTCTTTACCTTTGAGAACTAAATAATTTCCTTCTTCAATTCTACAAGTCTCTATTTATCCACTTAATATCCTCTTTTTGATGACCAACGTGCTGATTCAGTGAATTAGCTCTTTACAATTTTATTTTCAAGTACAGTTCATTTACAAGAAAAGCAATTTTAAGTTCATTCACCTGCTCCAGACTCTCCAAACTCACTTACTAAGAACTGGATGGCAGACAATGAAGATAATTTATTTACCACTTTTCATTACCAAGTTTGCAAACAGTAAGACAACCTTTTTTTCTGACTAATGCATCTCTTGCCATTTTTTGCTCTCAAAAGTTAGCAAGGTTTATATCATATAATATCTTTCAGTTAAGATTCCCCTTCTTAATAGCGATCACCTTCCAGTGTGATGGTTGTAGGGGTATTGAATAGGCCATTTTTGACATATGAAAATTCAAACTTGGCTTCGAGGCTTGGGGGAAAACACAAGAAATCACATCAAGGTTGAGGGATGAATATTTTTTTTTTGTTTTGTTTTATTCTCCCTTAGCCTTTGAACCATGTTTGAATTTGAATATATCAAAAATGGCCTAGTCACAGAGTACTCAATTATAGTCACTAAGTGTCCTAGTAGTGAAGCAGTCAACAGTGCTGGCACCCACATGTTAATTAGGTTGAAAAAGAAAAATACTTCACCTGTTTGTGTCAAAACTGCACTATTGTCCCTCTTCATGTCTTCTCTCTTTTCTACATTGTGTGGAGTTGTATCTGGACCTGTTATTTGTTGCATGACCTTGTATTAAGTTATGCAATAAAGTTTATCAAAGAGAAAAAACACTTTTCTCCTAAAGAGAATTTCCACTTTTTCAAAATGCTTTTCTCGTGAAGAAACTGTCCTCGTTTTCAAAATTTCCTTCAGCACCATGTCAAAAATAGCTTTCAGCTGACTGCCTCATGTGCCACTTTTTTTTTCATTTTTATATTGTATATTGGTGTCATCTATGATTTATTATTAAACAGGTCCATAGCAACATGGATTCTATTTATTAAACAAACATCTTAATATAATTACAGGCATCTCATTGTGTGTACAGTAAAGGACTGGTCATGAATAAATGGGGGAGAATATAGGAGGGGTGGGTATATAGCCATTTTTATGTGTGTAAAATGGGTCGGCCAGAAAAACCTATGCATTGCAGTCGGGGTGGGTCAACATGTAAAACATGTTTTAATCTGAGCATACAAGAAGTGTAGTATTGACAGTAAAATTCAATTCTTTAAATGTTTATCTATCCACTTATCCTCTTTTTGAAGACCAAGGTGCTGATTCAGTGAATTAACTCTTTAAAATCTTATTTTCAGGTACAGCTTACTTACTACTTAACAAGCAATGTTAATTTCATTCACCTGTTCCAGACTCTCTTTCTTTGTTCCTTTCTATTTGTTCACCTTGAAGACAGCTTGCCTCTATAGGAAATGGAAAGAAAAATTATGTGCTTTTATCAGTAAAAAGTCATAACTTAATAACTATAAATATAATAGTAGTCATTATTATAGTAACATGCAGTAATGTAATGTTTACTTTATGTTTTATCTTCCTCCCCCTTTTTTTAACATACCAATTCACAATACAAAGCCAACGATGCTTTGACCCCCCCTCCAATTCTACTGAGTTTGCTAATTGTTGCCAAGGGCATCAATAACAATTAATCTCTGAAGAATTACCTCTGTTCCATTTTAAAATGTCACGGAGAGTCAAATTTTAAGCGAATACAAATGTTTCTTTTGGAGTTGTCAGTCTGCTTGTTTTTTTCTGTAATGGTATGTGTAAATTGGTTTTTCTTCCACCTAAAAACTGAAGTCGATCAGACTCTTTCCAGCTAAACAAAAAATAATTTAATGCGACTTATATTCATGGAATTCCTTTGGCTACTGTTGTGAAATTTACGGTAGTAATGTCCAAATTCAAGGGACATTGCAAAGAATAGGC